TGGGGTAATATTAGGGTGATATTGGGGATGTATTTGGTTTAGGGTTTAGGGGCCCTAAACCCTCAACCGTACCTTGTGCAGGTCTGAATGCCAATACATGCGGCGTCACCAGCTGGAAAGTTGAAGACGCTGGCGCTGGCAAAGTAACACCCGACAAATCACTTGTGGCGTCCTTATCTTCTGCATGATGGTACCGGATTGCGCAAAGGGACTGAAGCCTTAGGCACCCAACCACTACACCATCAACTACAACCAGGACGGCTGCAAGTGTGGTTTGAACTATAATAGCAGTAATGCATATTTACAAAAAAGAGATTAACACAATAAGCACAATCTCAACAAAGGTAACAATGGGAACAACCATAATGTTGACAGTCATCTTGGTTGCTGTTAAGGAACTTAGATTAAGCCAATGTAAAAATGGAAGCCCTACTATTCACTATATACCCATATTATGGCAACTTAAATCCCTAAACCCAAAATCCCTGAACTAAACTCCTAAACCCTTACCCAAAACCCAAAACCCTAGACCCTAGACCCTAAACCCTAAATCCTAAATCCTAAACCCTACATACCCATAGTATGGTAACTTAATTCGAGACCCAACTCAGAGCTTCCTGGGAAGGTGACCGATAAACAAGCGGTGTACACCGTCCCCAAGGAAAAGGCCTCCAACTTCCTGGACAAGGTGGGTTTAGGGTTTAGGGATTTAGGGTTTAGGGTTTAGGGTTTAGGGATTTAGGGATTTAGGCATTTAGGGTTTAGGGTTTAGGGATTTAGGGTTTAGGGGTTTAGGGTTTAGGGGTTTAGGGTTTAGGGTTAGGGATGTTATAGGGGCTATATGGGGTTATATGGGGGTTATATAGGGGGTATATGGGGTTATATAGGGGTTTTGAGAGCTTATAGGGGCTTACCAACTTTCTGAATAAGGTGGGGCTGGGACTTGAGGGTTTTGGGTTTGGGGTTTAGGGTTTTAGGGTTGAGGGTTTCGGGTTTAGGTGGGACTTGAGCCTCTAATTAGAAGAATGATATTAATAATAATAGGAACAGTTGTAATACTAATAATGATAATAATACTTTTAACAATAATAATAATCGTCGTCGTCGTCGT